TAAAATCTGATGTTTTTTATGTTCTATTGTGAATTAAGCAAATGTTAAGTATTAAACAAATACTTGCAAAACTTTTAGCATGATTCTGCAAGACTGAAGGTGACTGTTTGTTGTCCAGTGGGCAATAAATACAGTGCAGTTATATGGTGGAGTCAGTGAGTGATTTACATACAGATTACTGTGCACAATGGGGTGTGCAGCAGCAGCGTTGTGTAGCCACAGAAGTGACTATGGAATGAGAACAGAGACATTTACTAACAAGTAAAACACCGAAAGAGCCACCGGAGAAGAAACTCCTTCAAGTCAGCAAATACAAAGGTGGTTCAGAGAAATTCTGCAGTACCGGTAATGCTACGCTCATCTTATTGGTTCTGATTTAAATTAGCTGAGACTAAGTGCTGCAGGAAGTCGTGGATACACAGTAAATCAGATGCAGAGAGAGAAAAGGCACTTTTACCAACTTATTACATATGGAGAGAGCACAATTACATTCCTGATGTGCAGTCTTGGTGATTTATAGATGAGTCTCTCGCTCAGAGGGTCTCGGAAAGGTGATCTGTTGCAGAGGCAGGCACAGGTAATTTATTCTATTCCCAAGTTTGCCATTTACTTCCCCCCACCCCAACCACTTGCGCTGACAAGATTTATTCAAACAATAGCGGCATTATGCTGTTATGCTGTTATGCTGTAAGTCTAACAATAAGAAAGAAAAAAGATTTGGACATACATATAAAAGTTCTAGTACCGTGGAACGGTTCTGTAGCTTATGTTCATATTCAGGAGGATGTTTTTAATTAAATGTAGGATTTCGTTCTCGGTTTCATTCTTCTGACTCTACCGTGTAAAAAACACGAGTGGAGATTTCATTTCGTGAGTTGCATCAGAAAGCCAACAAGGCATCTAGAAGTCTGTTCAAATTGAAGAAAATAACAGCAGTGTCATTCCAACACTTAGAGTAATGGTCTGTTTACATGCAATAATTAATTTTGCAGTACATGAGGTGTGTAATTAGATGTTTGAAATCCCCTTATTTATGTTGAGCGGTGTCAAACCTCGATTAACCGCTGTCCCTGCTAACAAGCGTGCTGTGAATGTGGGAAGCTGGATATGACATTAAAGAGTGTAAGGTGACACGATTTTGAAGGATTATTGATTTGGGGGGAGTTATATTTCTTCCGCTATGTGACAGGTGATTGTCAGTAAACAGTGTAAGGTGATATTTTACCGCAAACTGTTTGCGCAAGACAGATTCACCTAGCATGTGTATTAGCATGCTGGTGCCTCGCAAAATGTTATGTTAAAATGTGAAAATGATCCCTCATTGCAGTGGGAAACAGAAGATAAGTACAGTATGTCTTTAAGCTGCGATAGATGCTTCCTAAGCAGGATAGTTTAACTAAGACTAGCTCCCATTAAAAATGCAATAATTTGCACACCCTACAGTGCAAGGACTATAGGCTGCTGTGACTGGAACAAAATATAAACGATGACAATCATCAACCTCCCTACGATTCGTGCTTTCTTCAGCTCCAGAAGGCTTGAGGATTAAAGTTAAATTCTTAGACGCCAAAAACTGAACTTATCCTCCACATTACGCCACAGTGAAATTGATGTTGTCAGCCTTCTTTAAGTGCAACCTCCACAAATGTTTTGGAGGTGGGTGTATTTAGGTTTGAAGTAAAGTTAAGCTTTTACTGCAAAACATGCCTGAAAATCTGCTGCTGCTGTAGTTTGTGCTGTCCGGAAATAATTCCAGTGGTTTTGCGGCTGAGCTTGTAATATGTGGCTGACTGCCTCGATTTGTTGGGTCTGAGCTATTACTGAGACTACAAACAATTAATTTTGTTGAAATGGCCAGTTGTTGAGTGTAAACTTTTGTAGTAGTTTTTAGCGCCGCTCTACTACCACATCTATCTAAAAAAAGTTAGCTGGCTCGTCTCTGTTAGGAAGTGATGTTTGACGCTTTGATTGCAAAAATATGAGAAACGACATATTTCAGTGTAATTTTCTTTCAGGCTGATGTCTTTGGGGTTGGCACAGAGGATCATGTGCCTCTGTCTCACCCCAACCTTCAATCCGTTTTGGTCACACCAACCCTCTTGCATGCCCTCCTGCATGACATCCTACTCTCTCTCTCTCCATCCGAGCATGCTTTCCCCCTCTCCTCCTTTGTCTTTGCCTAACAATAGCACAGCTTCCGTTGACACCCTGCTGATCAGCAGCACTGGTGGCAGTCTTGTTAACCCAGGCTTCAACAGATCCAGTATAGAAGTCTCATTGTCAATGATCTGCATATTTTATTTGGCAAAGATTTGATACCGAATGCCTTTCCTGGGCATTTGCAACCCTTCCCATGTTCCCCATTTATCTTGGCTTGGCACTGTCATTAGGAGCACATTGGCTTATGGATGACAAGCCTCCTCCCTCCACCAAATTCATAATAATTTCATAATGGATTGATTAAATATGCTACAAATGATTGCTTTTTATGATTATAAATAATTTAGTCTAACACACTAGCAGGTCTAGCATATAGTATATTTCTCAAACAGTGGGAGATGTAGTTAATCTATTTTTACATAAACACCCTAAAATGCTGAAGAAGGAATTAAAGTAAACACTTGACTAAACTGCTGAGAAAAAATCTCTCTTAACAGGAAGTATCTTTCAGCACATTCAGGCCCATGGAGGGTAGCAATTTTCCACAACAATTTGCTGTGTGAGGGGCAGAGAAAAAAGCACAGATGTGCATAACAGAACAAACAGTACAAGCTACAAGACAGGAATCACAAAGTTACTGATATGCAACAGTGGCACATAAATACATGGAGAGTGAAGGAGAACTGCTCAATGCATGATGGGAGGTCCCCCAGCAGACTGAACCAGTCGCACCAAAACCAAGAGATGCTTCAGGGTCACCTGATCCATTAGATTAAGAACTGGCTTGCCAATAACAGCAATAACGCACCATGTCAAAGTTAACATTTCTTTGTCAGCCTTAATAATGCAGACAGGAGCTGAACAGAAAACATTCAACCAGAATGAAGTGGACGTGCTCCACGTCTCAGAAATATTTCATACTCTACCAGCAAGAACAATCAATATGTTTCTACAGAGGAGAATCCATGAGAAGAGACTGTCAGTTTGCAACTAATACCGTAAGTCACATACGAACCCTGCGTTCTGTATTAAGTAATGAATCTAAAGTAACAACACAGGAAATCGGAAAGTAATTAAGCATTTCTGCAAATAGCTTTTGCTTTTTTTCATACAGTAGTTGGAAAACTGCCTTTTTGCGTATTTTGTATATTTTGCTAAAACAAGGCCCTAGTCAGTATGCAAGCACATGCAGTACAACTTGTACCAATTTGCAAAGCAAGCACAATTTTACCTGAGTTTTAGAATTATTACCGCTGCTTTGCAAGAGATTTGTAGTAACGCAACAGGCAAAGCAAATTACATCTTTCCACAGATAATTGATCTGAATTTCATACGCCTGTAATTGCTGCTTGTGCAAAACACCTCTGTGTTCCTGTTTTTGTGCCACACCTTCCCTGCTTTTTTCTCTACCTTCTCTCAAAGGTCCCGTCAATCCTCAGTGAGGCTTTGCCCAAATCGCAGCCTTTGACCTTGTTGCTTCATTATCAATAACTGTTTTTCATTCATATTTGTGGAGTGTGTCCTTGCTAGCAAATAGTAATTTCAAATTGGAATTTTAGCCAATGCCATTTTTGAATTAAGCTGTAATTAAGCTTAAATACCATCAATACAAATATTTATCTTGGTCTTTGCAGTTATTTCAATCTGATTTATCTTTATTAAAATAGTACTACCTGCGCAAAGGACAATTTGAGAACCGGGTATGGAGTAAGTATGTTTTTTTAAATTAAAAAAATCTATTATGCATCATGGAATAAAACAATATGACAAAAGAAGCGGCTGAAATTCGACATCAAGCAAGAATGGGAAACCATTTTGCTTTTAAAAACTATAGCAATTGGTTTCCTCAGTTCCCAGACGCTTACCAGAGTGTTGTTAGCAGAAGAGGTGATGCAACACAGTGGCAAACATGTCCTTGCACTGACTTTTTTACTGGCATAAAAAAATCAGAGAGCATTAAGATTTCTTAGTTTCAACATTTTCAACATGTTGCCGTCAATTAAGTTTAAGTACTTTGCAAAACCATGTATTCCTTTTTATTAAAATTTTACGCAGACTCTCACCTTTTTTCTGAAAACTGTAAGAAGAAAATGCCATTCAGTCTCTTTGCGACTCTGCGGATGACAGTTATCGTTAATTGAGTTGGGCCACTCAGCGTCTGAGAGTGTGTCCCTTTGAGCTGAGATCAGCAGTTAACAGAAGTTAGATGACCTGGTGACGGTAAAAAATGAATCTCCTCATGTGGCTGACCTCTCCACCTTCTTCTGAAACACCCAGATCCTTTGATACAAGTCTCTATGGAGACACGAAGGCTTCTCATTGGCTGAAAAAAGTTTTGTTTGATAACTGATACCCGGTCAATACAGAGGTGATAACTGGTAATAGAACAAAACAAATTTAAAAAAAAGCTGGAAGGTAAGGTGATAATGAGAACTGGGAGGAAAAGAGCGAAACCGACAAAAGGTTCATACATTATTATCACATTTTGAGAATAAATTCATTGACTGCATTCCCCCAAAATTGGTAGCCTTAGGGACAAAATGCTCCAAGATCCCAGAAAAAGGCTGCGCAGTCTAAATATTTATGTGCTGTGTGGATTGTTTTGTGAAAAATATGTTGATGTTAGAAAGCTGTTGCTCTCAAAATATAACACAAGCACCAAATAATCTTTAACTGAATAAAAAAACCCTATATTTATTTAATTATACTCAGCACCGAATAAAGAAACAACCATCTTGTTATTATTAATTTCTACTTTTATTAAAACATCATTGACCTCCAACATGTAAAGAATGTACATAATAATAATAATAATAATAATAATAATAATGATGAACTGAATAACATCTGAAATGTCTTTTTTCTGTGTTATTTTATTTCTTTATGTTTGTCAATTCTCTTGTGAGGCATACTTGGGATTCTCAAGGCTTGAGATAGTTTTAAAGGAATGTACAGTACAGGAAACAAGGAGTATCTTTCCCCCATCGTCTTATTTCGCTTCTGACATCTACATATTTTTGTTTCATTTGCAGTTCGTCACACCCATCAAACACTTTCATCTGCTCCAAAACAGCTTGAAATAGGCTAAACCTCCCGTGGTCAATACGCAAGCCCTTCAGCCATACACACTCTCGCGTGCACGCATGCACACAAACACATATCGTTTCACTTTAACGCACTCTGGGATGCCTGCAGTGGATGGTATAGTGATTTGCACCGGTGCTTTGATCAGACTTTTGGTCTGTAGCATTTCCCACAGAGAACCTTCCTCAGCAGACCCAAACATAGAAGCCATCAACCTTGCTCTAGCACAGATAGCCAGAACAGATCGCCTCTCATGAATGACCCTTGTCACTCTCTGCTCCTCTTTTCCATCAGTGCTTCACGCTGAGTGGTATGTCCTTTGGTGCTGGAATTCAAAGGAAATGCCACAGATGCACTGTCATAAAAGTGACCTTTAAAAAAAAAAGCAAGATACTCACTGAAGGGGAACCAGCTGTCCATTTCACACGACTTAATGTCACTGGTCAGAGCAGTGTGGAGATTGTCTCTAAATAAAGTTTGAACTTTTAAAACATTTGAGACAATTAAAAACACAACAGCACGATAAAAACTTTTGTTTTGACTTGAAAAGTCTGCTCGCTGCACTCAGTCAAGTGTAGGTTTACAGTATATTCTGACAGGCAGGTGATGCTAGAAATCTCTTTTATGGTTTCACAGCAGTTCGTGTGGGCTTGACAAGAGCAGAATATCATCCTGTCATGCAGCTGATTTCTCTATTCTCTGTCCTCCACTCCTAGAGCTTTCACTTATTTTGTACTGTTGCTGAGTCTAGCGCTGGCGGTCATGTGTCGATGACATCCTGCGCCGGTGAGGGTTCGTGTGGCAAACTGGTGGCGTTGGGCAGTGGCTGTGTGTGGCTGACTGAGTTCTGCTGCAGCTCTAGTGCCATTGCATTCTGTGGGTGGGGGAACTCTTTCACCTGTCTGCGATACTCCAGGAAGGTGGAGGCCTTGGTCGCGATGGCCACCACGTTCTTCCCGACGAAGATTGTGGAGACCCGACTGTCCTGAAACAACACCATGTTTACACCACGTATTAGGATAGTGACCACGTTAATGGTGACCAGGCTTAGGACTGGGTACAGCATCATTTTCTGGGGTGACATGTGCTCCCCTTGCATGCTGATTTCACTGAGCGACACACAGGGCAGAATAAGCAGCAGGATGTAGCAGTAGAAGAACATCAGGCCCTCAGCCCAGATGGGCAGGCCTGTCCGCTGGGGCTCCCACAGGTTAGCTTGGATATCTAGCAGGTCCAGAAGATCCAGAGCCACCCAGAAGAGACGACTCCTCATGTCCTCCTTCTTCCGGAAAGTTCTCACATATTCCATGCTATCCAGAGCCACTAAAACTAAGTATAACCCAGGCACACACACGGATAATAGTAACGTCAATGCTTTCCGTGCTACTGTCTCCAGACTTTTCCTGTCAGCCTTGCAATTCTGGAAGACAAAGTAGAGTTTGATCTCCAGCACAAAGATGTACAGAAACCACAGGATCATGGCATATCCTCGTCGGGCGGTGCGCACCTCAGCACCGACCCAAACTGCCACATATCGTAGTACTATGAGAAAGCACACATCCCCGACTAGCACTATTATGCACACACCAATTTTCCTGGGACCCTGGTTCTGCTCCACCAGGTAGGCATCCATGAAGGCCATGCTGGTCATGATGACGATGGTGGTCAGGCAAACGTGGCGTTTGTCTGGGGGTGGCAACACCATGGCGAGGGCACCTCTTGGCTCTCACTGTCAGGCCACAGCTTGTGAAAATAAAAATAAAGTAGTCTGGACACTCCAAACCTTTAAGGCTGGAGGGAGAAAAATGGTATTTAAGGTGCTCTGACAGATGTTGTGTGCACAGGAGCAGATGTCCTGCTACAGTTTATTTCATAATAAAATAAGTCACTGCACTAATAGTCCATAGAGGACGATGATTATTGCAACGTAGAAGCAGAGCTCTGTGTGGGGTACGACGCTAACTGCTGATTGCTCTCAGACCACGCGAAAACAGGGACATCTCCTCGTTACTCAACGCACTTCCATTGATCCAGCTCTGCCCCTGAGCAGTAGCTACACCAAGGGCTCCACAGCTGACACACCATAACTGATCGTAATCCACACGCCGTCAAATGGAGCCGACTCTGAGAGCAGGCTTTGTCTAATGGACATGTGACTGGATGGCGGGGCACGGTGCCGCAGTGTAGGAATGTTTATGGGGGTGTTTATTTTTGTATGCAGTGGATATATGCACGCTTGTGGTGCAGCTTGGCATGTGCGAGGAATCCCTTTTTGAATGCTCCTGTGGACGGTGGTGCAGTGTGTGTGGCTCCTTGCAGTCCTGCAGTGTGCGTGAAGGGAAGTGGAGGAGAGAGAGGAGAGGAGTCTGCAGTGGCCAGAGGCCCCCAGCCGCCATAAATCACGGAGACAGCAGGTCAACGGCCCGTGAGGTCTTGCGTCTGACGCCGGCTTCCCCGGGGGGAGGCTCTTACACCGGGCTGAAGATCCATCCTACCCCCTCCTCTTCTTGCCACGTGCCGGCCTCTCCAAAGCCTAAAGAAGGAAGAAATAAAGAGGGGGGTGGGGGGGGTAGAGGAGAAGGAGAAAGAAACCTGTCAGCACTACTGGGCCATATAACACAGTTTCATTGCCAACGGCCTTCCACATATGAGGAGCCAAGTAATGTGTCAGCTTGGCTCAAATATAGCCTGTTTCACTATTGATGGGACAGAGCATATTGCACATGTAAAACTGCTTCAGGATGTTATTTCCTCTCTATTGTCTGTGATATCTCACATGACATCTGGTTGCACGACTTAATATGCTTCCGTGGAAATGTTAATATATTCAGCATATTTGGGGCCATAATACCCTGTAGTTTAATTCTGGAGCTAAATTAATAGAGGATTTATTACAGAAACTTGTAGAAGCCAATTTTAAAGTCACACACAGTAGCTAACTGCTCTACGCCTCTTTCTTTCATTTTTTTCCCCATTCATTTATTTCTTTTTTTTTTTAAACATTGCTTGGCACTGCATTTTCTTCCTAGGCAAGGGTAAATGGGATAAACGACGGCAAAGAGTTCATTTCCTGCACATATACTGAGTCAGTTCGGTGCAGTTTCAAGGAAACGAGGAAAGTGCGATTGCAGCATGTATGCAGCAGGATTTTTTTAGCGGCTACGGTGACTTTTGTTTCAGTGACTGCAGAACAGATTTCAGCTATCATTCATGCGTTCTCTGTGTAAAAAAAGTGCATCATGAATGATATTGATAATAATAACCCTGTCCATGTTTCATTTTACCTTCAGTTTAAGCTCCAGTTACAATTACTCTTCACACTCTGTTTTTTTTGCTGAATGATGTTTCAAGGTGTTTCTGTTTTGACCTGTTTAATATTTGAGCTGATGTGTGTGTCGGAGCGTGTGACAGGTTCGGTTTGGGGAGGCTGTGTGTTCATCTGTGAAAAATAAATAAAAAAATAAAAAAATTAATAAATAAATTAAAAAAAAAAAAAAAACAGATGCCAAGCACTTAACTAGCCAGCAGGAGCTTAACTTCTGCACTGACCTCATCCATAAATAACTCAACAAGTCTAAATATTAGCGTGGAGAAAAGAGAAAAAAAGGAAAAATCGAGGTTTGAGAAAAGAAAGTGAAATGTGCTAATTGAGCAGAAACGTCTCAATCAGTTTGAGTTTGTCGAGTTTCACATTGAGCGGGAACTAGCGTTTATCTGTCGCTCTGTTCTGTTCTGTTCATTTCTGCCTACTCCTGTCACTGGATCCTTCAGGCAGAACGCACATAAATCACATTAGTGTTTCTGTCAGCCCAAGTATGCTTCAAATCAAGACACGACTGCAACATTCAATATGTGCTGCTCGTACAAACAAAAGTTGTTTGGCTAACGCAAGTCTAACTCAAAATTTCTGCAGTGTGGAAAATATCCTGTTATTGTCAGGAAAACAGAAAACACAACTGGTGTGATTTTACTTTGCATCATTAAATTTTCAACAAATGTCAATATAATAAAAAAATAACATAGAAATGAAAAAGATTGTACCAGCCGATATTGATTGTTTTTCTTTTCTTTTGTTATAAAGAAGTAATACGTGAACTGATGAATTCTCATGTTCTCAGTCATATACTCAGTCTTCAGTTATATACTTTACTATGTTATTGATGAGTAGGTTTTGTCTGGTTTGTTTAGTATTCTCCCAAATCTGGATACCTAAAGGTTGTTGGGTCATATATATTCTTTGGTACTACACACTTCAAGCCTTCAGTACCATCTTAATTCTTCTGACATTCATTCAATAAAGTGCCAGAACAATTCCTCACAGATTTTGCTCCATATTGACATGATAGTATCACACAAATGCTGCTCATTTGTAAGCTGCACATGATGTGAATTTCCCATCCCACCAAATCCCTAAGGTATGCCTTTGGATTGAGATTTGGTGAATGCGGAGGCAGGAAAATTGCATTACAACAGCAGCCAGTCTGGCACCAACAACCATGCCACGTTTGAAGTCACATAAATCATCTAATGCTCTGAACTTTAGCAACTAAAGCATTACTACATCCTTAAAGTACTGAGCTGACTGATTAGATGTAAATGGTAAATAGGACTTTCCTACTCTACTTAAGCACTCAAAGTGCTTCCATACAACATGTCTCATTCACACACACTCATACAGCCACTTTTTCTCCAAGTGCTTTCTATCTACAATAGTCACACTCTGATGAACAAATCAGGAGGAACTTGGAGTTCAGCATCTTGGCCAAGGATACTTGGGCATGTAGACTGGAGAAGCCAGAGGACTGACCCACAAACCTTGCAATTAGTAGATGACTCGCTCTCCCACAGCCACCTGATGTTTGGGTTTATGAGCAGTTTAAGATGTGGTAGTGGGTTGTTCAACTGCTCGTTAACACAAATAGCAACTTGAGTGTATAATGCATTAGTAAATCATTATGAAAATGTCATGGTCCCTGAGTTATTGACCAAGTGTTTTGAGTTTGAGTTTTTTCTAGGTCTTTCTCATTTTTAATTATCGTTGTATTATAGTTCTGTGCACATGTTCAATCATAGGTCTTTACGGTTTATGTTTGAGTCCCGTGACCTTCTGTCTATGATGTACTCTCCTAGTGCCTCAGAGTTTTGTTATTTATATTTCTAGTTGATGGTTTCATATTTGATTATGTTAATTTCTTTTCGTGCCCTAGTTTTGTCTCTGTGTCTTGTCCTCAGCATCTCCTGTGAAAAGTCTCCCTGTTCGTTTATGTCTCTGTCTCTCCAGTCATGCCCCTGTTTAGTTCTGTCAAATTCTTATGTCTTAGTCTCAGTGTTTGTTTTCCCATTTCCCTAATTACCTAGTATGTATATATTCTCTAAGTCTTCCTTTCCTCTTTGTTATGTTGTCCCTCCTGGTTGTGTCCTCACTTGCAGTATGTGGTCCTTGTTGAGCTGAAGGTTTGATTTTCTTTGTTTTGTCCTGCATTTGGGTACTGCCTTTGCCCTTCACACAGCCTACATGATATAAAATAGTTAGTAAAAGCAGTGCTTTCAACAGCCACTCTTAAACTGTCTTTTTTTTAAATAAAAGTTTGCCTTTGAAAGTAGAACCAAAGTTGGAAAAACACTAAAACAAGAAATACTCCAACCTCAAATATGTCAACTGTGTTTCTAACAAAAATGGAAAGTCAAAGCCTAAATTTCCTGCCCAAGCCACTTTCTGACCACTTTAGCAAAACAATGGCAAGCCTTTTAGTGATATTGATTGCCTTCTTTGCAAAAAGCCAATCGAGACATGCATTAAAAGTGATCCACCACTGTGGACTTTACTATTGTAATTTAGAAACTGGGACTTTACTCCTAGTTTGACTAACTGTGCTCTTGATATGAGAGATTTAAGTATGACATAAATAAACATGAGCTTGTTTTCACACCCGCTGTGTGAAATCACTAAAGCAAAAATGGGCTTTTGAGCTTTTTGAATGAGATCCAAAGATTGCAGAGAGGTTGTTTTTCATCAGAAAATACCCCCCTTAGAAAACATGAACTGCACCGTGTACACCCTAAAAGCACATACAGAAAAATGCAGCTTTAATGGCACCCCTGCAAGAATTTAAATGGGTGCACTGGGTTATACCCCCATTTCGTTGAAGAATACAAAAACAACATGTTATCTAATAACATGTCAAATCAAGGACTGCCAGTGGAAGCCCAGTTTGAGTGCACGGTACCAGAGTGCGCCTCATTTGTAATCCAAGCATGGATTTGAATGTTTAAAACCCATTATGTAGAACAGGGCCTAAGTAAGAGATTAAATTCATAAGATGGTGATTAATTGACTGATTAGCAGAATGCTGTGGATCATTAACATGCTATAAGGAAGACTGCTTCCACATATACCGTACATCGAATCATGATTTAAATGCCATTAATTATCAAAAAAGACTTTGAGATTGTTTCGCTAATGAACGGATTACGGCCGGAGTGATAATATGAGAGTGCCAAATTGGATGGTTTGAACCTTGGAGGAATTATGACTTGAGCTGTGAAACATGGATCCCAAGATGTCATCGCTGTGATTCGTTGCTGCTGGTGCGCCCTACGAAGCAGGAAGCTGATGAACTTTGACAATATTAGATTATTATTAATCCCATCTGCCACAGACTGTGAAAAAATCTCTTTGTCTGCGTGAAGTGATGACAGAGGCGCACTGCTCTGCTTAGCATATTCCGTTCAGAATTATAATGTATTTCTCAAGGCTGAAGATTAGTTAACGCTGAATTAGAAAAAAAAGAAAAGAAATGTCCACTGATATGAGATTTGACAGCTGCGATTTCACATCTCTGCATGACTTTTTCCTCCCCTCCCTTTGGCGCAGGGGGCCTCTATTTATAGGAGTCTGTATGTTTCAGCTCTACTCAGAGGCTTCAATTATACTGCGTATTAATTATGGTTTACTATAAATAGGGACCACGGGGGGCTGTGAACTGGCAGGACAACATTTCTTCACAGAGGGAGGCTATTATTGTGTCTGTGGTCCAGGCCATTATCTCTCTAAACAGCCAGAGCTTCCTTGTCAGGCAGTTATTTTAACAGTTAGCCTCTCTGACTGGCTGCAGACGTCCACACTGATCACAACAGGACCAGAGGTTGGGGCATCAAGTGACATGTTTGCTTTGCTGTTCTGTTTGTCCTAAAAATCAGTGAAGGAGGTCAGTTTAAGCCAAAGAACAGGGCAGTGCAGCTGCAAGAACAGCACTTTGGCACAGGATTCTTTCACTCTCTACCATGTGGAAAAAAACAAAACAGAAGAAAAAATCAATTCAAAACCCTATACTCGTTTTAAATGGTGTAGTGTGCAGGTGCTGCTTTTGAAAATGAGCCTGAAAACAGAACCTTTTCAAGCTCTGACTTCGCTTAATTACCCATGTTCCTGCTGGATTGATGTTTGTCTTTTTTTTTTGACACAGATTCAGAGCTTGAGAAAAGTAAAGTCTTTCAAGCTCCGAGAAGCTTCTCTTTTAACACTGAGGTGTT